TCTCATTTTGGTTTTACAAATCCACCAGTGCTTCATAGCAAATTTATCCATGTTTAAATCCCTGAACACCACCAATCATCTATAGAAAACAGAAGAAGCAATATCTTCTGTTTCTGAGACTGCAGTGACTAAGCAAACTATGATGGACCTTTCCAAAAAGCAGGGAAAATAAGCAAAATAAATACTTAAAACATTGGCTGAATTTGGCTCTGAATTACCCTGATGTAAACCAAAGAGATTTCTTACAGTTTAAGTGTATAAATTTCATTTGGGTGCTATGTTTTGAGATACATAACCAAATTTTTCTTGAAGGAGGTCTCTAAGAAAATCACAGATTTTGCCATATTGATGCAAAGGCAGAAAGTTGGAGTTCTGGGACACACAGCAGAAAGAAAAAGCTCCTAAGGCTCTTGAGTTCTGCCAGCTCTCCACACTGTCAGCAGAATTGTGGGCAATATAGAATGTATGAATATATTTCTTTCTCTTAACATTCTTCTTCACTCTCTTTGAGGGGGACACAAGCACAGAACAAAATTTCTGCTGTTTTTCATCTTTCCACTCCTCAGAAACTGGACAAGTTTTCAGCCTGCAGATGCCTATTACAAACTAAAACTTGTTTAGTTTCTTTCTTGTACCCATTTAACCAATTCATCATGTCAAATGCTCTGTGCTGACTCCAGAGTTGGCACATCTGAAAATATTTACTTCCCTGTATTTTTAGTTACTGCTTTGTCTCATCTATCATTTTCAAAAAATACACAGGAGATGGGCCAGTCTTCCCATCAAAATATGATTGATGTGAGAATAGTCTTAAAACATACCTAGTAATTTAGGAAACAGATAACTGTTATGCTGACATTTTCCCTGAACATTTGTTATTTGCTTGGATATGAGAAGTACCATGTACTGCATAATTTACTTATTAAGGTTGAGTTCCTTCAGAGAGCTGAACAACAAGATCCTACACCAACTCATGAGACCGGCCCAGCATGGTTTGCTTTCTTGCCTAGGATCTTTTGATTTCCTAGGCTAAGTTGCTCAGAATATTTTCAAGATTCCTTTGTCCTATGCATTAAAATCCATATATCAAAATATTGTACAATCTATTGTGTATGCATACTTTCTTTTGTTTGGAGTTCATTTGGATTTTTAATTTTATTTATTTAAGAATAAAAAATGATTTTGCTTTCAGAAAGCCTAGAATGCTGGTTGTATGACAAAAATCCTTTTGCAGTTTTTTGTAAAAAAGGAAGGTCCACAAGATGTACATTAGAAGCAGCCCAGAATTATGTGATGATATTGCAAAGCAACACAATTTGTTTCTGTGAACCTTCAGTTTTTGGAGCTTGTAGGAAAATTTTGGATGAAATATCATAGTACTGATTGATTGATTGATTGATTGATGGATTGATACCTTTTTTGGTTTTAGGTTTTGGTTGTTTTTTAAAGAGCTTATTTTAATTTCCTCACGCAGATCTAGAATATCTAACATATTGAAAAAAAAGTTGTTTTTTTCCTGGAACTGTAATTTAGATAAGCCCTTAGTAGTAACTTATCTGAATCAAGTTCTCTCCTTCCTCCATCTTCTAATCTATAATATCTGAATTTATACATGAACAAGCAGAGGGAACAGGTTGCAGCTGAGGGAAATAGATTGACTTGCTTATCTCTGAAAACCATACCTGAGCCAGGGCGTACCTGCCAAGGTCTCAATCTTCAGACAAGCTGATCAGGAAATTATGAACAGATTGCAATAAAAAATATGATAGATAGTCATGGTAGCTCAACAAAATTTTGAAATTTTCTTTGCTGGCTAAACTGACATTTCTTCCTTTGAATTCCTTCTCCCTCACTTCACTCAAAAAAAAAAAAAAGCTTAATGGAAAAGACAATAGAAATTACAGAATTCACTGAACTAAAAGTATTTTTTCACAAAGAAAAAAAAATCAAAAAAGCTATCAGGAAGAAAGAAAAACTTCAAAAATACCCTTTATGGTAACCTTAATCATAAAATAAACCATATATCAAGAATGAGAGAATGAATTTTCATTCACTCAAGCACATAAATAAATGCCCATCCAGAAATGTCTTTCCAGATTGGAAAAAGGCAGACTGAAACAGTAATCCTTTCACATTCAACTCATATAGCAGAAAGTCAGAAAAAGGATTCATCCTGACATATTTATGGCTTAAAAGCACTGAGAACTTCCACATATTTCAAGGATAATCACGTTCAGGAGTGACTTAGCCTTGGAGCAGGGTATATATATTTATAGTTATTCCATAATTCTTCCACTACTAAGTGAAACACTAGACTACTTCTTTTTTGGTTTTTTTTTGGTTTTTTTTTTTTAGCAAAGCAATCACTGATTCATTTAGGGATGGCAGTAATATAGAGACACAAAGCCCCAAAGACAGTGGAAACAAGAGCTCTGGTTTTCTGGGCATCACGCTCAAGTGATCCCACCCCAGCTCTGGGCACACGGTGGGACGCTGGAGGGGCTCCAGGAGAGGCTGTGGTACCACCCCAGACTAACACCAGCCCAACTAAAAGCAGGCTTGTGCTCTTCTACCTTGCTCTGTGAGAAATGTGTACATTGATACTTTGGTTTCATGGAATCCCAGAAATCCTAGGAACACTTGGATTGGAAGGGACCTTCAAGAGCACCCAATTCCAAACCACCTTCCCCAGACAAAAGTGCAACCCACTGCACCAGGCTGCTCAGGGCTCCATCCAACCTGGCCTTGAACCCCTCCAGAGATGGGGCACCCTCAGCTTCCCTGGGCAAAGGGAGAAGCTGTAACTCACCTCACAGCAGATGGAGGTGATTTTTTAAAGTGCTTCTCTTGCTGCTTTGAGCATAAAGCTCAGCCCAGGTTGGGACCATTTGAGGAGGATTTGCTCCCATTCTGGCCCCAGCCTGGCCAGGCCTTGTCTGCAGTGCCTTCACAGATAATTTCAGCTCACAGCTCCAGCTCAGGGCCTCTCAGCAGGGCAGACACCATTTCACTTTAATTTTCCTGCTCCAAGTCTGAGGAACAAGGACTCAGATGTGTTGATTCCTGCTGAAAAGTGAGGGAAGGAAGAATGATAAAATAAAACCAGAGGTCAGGGGCAAACTGAAGAACAGCCACAAAGAGTTGCCTGCCTGGAAGAGAAGGTGGGATCTTTGGCTCCTGTGGAAGGGCCTAACAGCGGGCCTGTTAGCTAAAGGAGCGAGAAGAAGCTGAGAAGTAAGAAGAAGCTGATAAGGAGCTCTCTCCAAAGCTGTAACCAAGGAGACCGAGAGAAGAAAGATAAAAGAACCTTGTAGCTAAACAAAGTATTTGTAAAAAGTTAGTGGAAGTCACTGTAACTTTTCACCAATAGTGTTATGTTGACTTCTTGTCGCCAATAGTTAAAGAAGCATAAACAATTAGAAAGTGTATAAAAAATCAGCCATGTTCAATAATAAAGGGTTGCCATCTAAGACTGTTTGTGGTCTCTGCTTTGTGTCGTGACCACCTTGATAGCAACAGGCTCCTGGTGGAAGAAGGGCTTACCAGCCCTCTGTTCCTGACCTGTACCCAGCAGCGTCCTGTCAAGGCTGCAGTGGCTCCAACATCTCAGGGCTCAAAGGTAAAACAAACAGGTTTTGGTCCCACAGTGGCTTTAGAGGACCATGGCTCCACCTGTGCCATCCTGCAATGAACTGGTCTGGGTGTCCTGGTGGATCTCATCCACCAGCTGAGTGTCCCTGCAGGCTCAGGCTCACCCCTTCACCAGCAAAAACAACACTTCTGGACTGTATGTGGGCAGAGGGGAGGGAAGGTGTGTTTGTCATGTTCAAAAATAGTTCTCCTGAAAGATAAGCTAACCCTAATGACTTTCAAAAATTAATACTGCATATCACCAATAGAAAAAGCTAAGAAATTTCTACAGGCTTTCCAAAGTGCCACTTACAACTATAATTCAACTAGCAATTCAATTTTCCAAGGTCTAAATTCAGGATATGATGTGTGAAAACGGCCCAATTCAAAAGACATATGAATTAAATGGAAATGCAAGCCTGTGTGATTCATTCTGTCAGCATCATCAGCTTCACAAACACAGGTTCAAAATAACCAAGGTCAATATTTCTCAGTTATTAAAGTGAAAGGAAACTGCATTCATGAAAATCAGCAGTAACTTCAGAGCTGTAATGAGGGATCTTGTGAGAAGGAACAACTTCTTTCTTTCTTTCTTCAAGGCATGAAAGGTAACTATAACAGCAAAAGCCTGACTGTGAAAATAATCAATGGCTTGCCTTTAGTCTGAATCTGGATTCTGCCATACAATCAGAAAAGAGCTATGAAAAAAGAAGAAAAAATTTTTCTATTCCCCTTCTTTTACATATTTATGTTCTCAAAGTTCCCCTAAATCTTCCTGCATGGAAAGTTACTTTCTCTGACAATTTTCCACATTTTCCTGTCAGGCAGTCATATTCCCTGTAGCTTCATTCCAGGATGTGCTGGAATCAGAGAATTTTAGGATAAACCTATAAATCTGTTATAAATTAATCTCTGCTCAATATTTACTAATTTTCAATACTCTTAAAATGATGGAGACTTCCAGATGTGAAATTGGAAATTATTTTCGAAACAAGGATTAATTTGATCTTTAGTTACTAAATTTGCAGTGACCATATTTCTTTTGGTTGAATGAATGATGCAACTCCAGTTCAAAACAGCTTTTCATCTGATCATTTCTCATATCCACATGAAAGCAAATTGTCTCAATACCCATTGCCCTTAAGTACAGTGCCAAAATTAGAAAATATTTTGTTTTTACGACTGTATTGTTTTTACGACTACTTATTAAGCCACTTTTTCTTACAGTGCTGTTTCCTGTTAGCTGATTGACATTAGTAAAACATAAATGGTGTTCTGTTGCTGGATCACTCTGTTCTCACTTTGTCTGACTTCATCTTAAAAACTTGTATTTTCAGTGCCAAATGCCACACAGAGAGAACCTCGCTGACATCAGTGCTACTGTTGTTGGCATTGAGTACACTTCATCTCTGAAAGATCTGCCCTGGTAGAAAACCATCTAATATTCTTCCTGCTTATATAATATTCTAAGAATGAGGCTATCAAATATTTTTTTAAAGTATTTGTTGCTGTTTGATATATCACTGACATATTCTTTTATGGCTGAAAATGTGCTTGAAGACTGGTGAAGCCTTGTTCTTGCTAAGTTTTTCATTCTTTTAAAAATGCTTTTGTAAGTAGCCTATTTGTCTTATCAATTCTGCTGTTTTCCCAGATTGAGTTTCTTAATTTATTTAGCTCTTAATACTACAGAAGTATGTGAGTCTTGTGATTTACTACATCTTTTAACATTTATATACATTTTCTTAGTATTCATGTAAATCCTCTTGGATTTTCCTGTGTTGATTTTGCTTTACAGTGAAGAATTGGGAGTTTTTTCAAGTTTTTAAAGATTTTTTTGAAAAGTGTATTTTGGCTGATTTCCTTTGGTTAGTAGAGCTCTATATCTACCCATGCTGAAGGATTGCCTCTGTGGAAACTATTATTTTTCCTGGATTTATGGTACTGTCATAGAGAAAAGGCTCCAAGATGTCAGTGTTGATGGTCTGTGATGAATAAAGATTTCTGCATGTGAAATCTTTAATTCAGTTTGAAATGTGCAGTAAATAGCTACTCTTAGTCCTCTGTAGTCAAATTACTCTTTTCCTGCTTCATGTTTTTTCCTTATGTTTCATCTGCTTTCTTATAGTTTGTTATATTTGGTTCTGAGGATTAGGATTGCAGCAAAGCCAGAAATTAATGTAAGTTTTTTCCAATACATACATGGTACCTGGTAGCTCTGTTGGGAAAATTCTAAATTACTTGATGTATTTCTTCATGAGGAAATGTAATTCATGAGCTTCTGTGCCAGAAACAACTCAGATTTCTGTGCATCATTCTAGTTTGGAAACTCATGCTATATTTGTACATTTATTCTGAGTTGTTTTCCCAGCCAGTGAGTCTGAAGTTTCTCATTAACCTTGCTGGAGATTTATTTAAGCAAACTGGGGTTGGAGTTTATGTGAAAACAGGAAAAGTTTTTGCCTAGATTCTTTGCTTAGTTCAGATTTGGTTTACCTTTCTTTTTATTTGCTTGTAAATTCTTTTTTCCTAATCTAAAAATGAAAGTTCCCTACCATTAGATTTAGATAAAATTAAAGGAATGGAATGAGACACAGTCAGTCAGTAAATATTTCTTTCAATTATTTTCCTGCAATATCTTTGACAGTACATTTTTTTTAATATACTTTGAAAAAATACAATGTTAGTAATCAGGATGTTCTTAAATCAGCAGACTCTGCTGTTAAGAGGTGGCCTGTCCAGGTTGTGGGCCAGCTGTGTGGGATTTTTCCAACTCCGTATTACCACTCTACGGAGTTGTGCTTAAACCTGGAAAATAAACTTACATCTATACTTAGCCAAAGCCACCAATACTGCCAATTCTTTAACTAAAATGTAATTTTGGTTAGAATTTAGAGGGGGATCTCCCTTTCCTTCCAGTCAGTGATCTCTAGGGGATGCAGCCAGTTATAATCAGTAGTAGACAGGAAGGGTGCCATTATCATAACCATGTTAGTTTCAAATATATATTAAATTTTATTTTTGTACAGTATTGTTGATATGAACTAGGAGTTAGTAGCATATGTTTTTATTTCTCTTACCTCCAGTGACCAATTTGTATTTCATCTCCTGCTGTACATGACAAGAACACACTGCCATGAATTCAAGAGAGAGTTAAAGCAGAGCAAGTCAAATTGGAAAGAGGCCCTTGGAATACAGTTACATTCACCATATGGTATGAGTTATTATTATGCAATTTTCATAGGTATTGGTATAAATTAAAACATTTAGAAGGGCCTTCTTAAAACCCTAGATGTTATTAAACAATTCATCCAAATCCCTAATCCCTGAAAGGCCCTTTGGACCATTAATCAAACCATGCTGGCTTTTGCCCTGCACATTTTTCTTCAGACTAGTCCACAGAAACAAGCAAATAAATTACACATTAAAATTTATGAGTACAAATTTTTCCTTCCCTCTAACTAACGTGTACCATTTTCCCTAGAGAAATTCCCTCCTGCATAAGAAATTAAAGCTTTTAAGCAAAGAATAGTTCCATTGTCACAAAGAAAAACAGAACCATTGCCATAGCCATGATATTTTCAAATATTTAATAACAGTGAATACTATATTGCTGATATGAATGAGGGCTTATTAGTATATATAACCATAGTAATATATATAACCATAGTTAGCTCCTGAATGTTGCAGCACTGTCATGCAGTAGGAAAAAAAATTCATTAATTAATTATTTTTTTTTTTCTGCTAGAAAGGAGACGTTGTAACAGTTTGTTCTTTAAAGAAGCCTCAAAAGGGAAAAAAACCCTCAAAGCAGCAAACCTTTTGGCTCTTTTGATCTCCTGGCAGCTGAAATCAACAACTGCAGAGCCTAGGGACACTTTGGTTTCCAGCCTGGATGATGGACTGCGTTTGCAGGAGGTTATTATCTGTTTGTTGGAAACAGACAGACAAACCAGATGCCTGAATTGAGAAGGCTGTCTCAGTTCAGATTAAAATTTTCCTCAGTTTCTGAAGACTCAGCAAAACTCCAGCATAGGTTGTTATTTTAGTCAAGAGTAACACTTTAAGGTCAAAATGTACCTTTTTAAAATCATAAAATTGTGAACTTAGGCATTTTAAATTCCTGCTTGATAAACTACCACGGTACTGTCTCTGAAGGTTACTTCAGCATATGTATTAACATCATTTTTACATCTGAATGCTTTTGAAAACCAGATTATTTGTGCAGAAAAGTAAGGGCTTTATCTTGGTATCCAAGAATAAACCCAGTGCAGTTATCTGCTACACTATAAATACACATTGTGCAAGAGAAAAAGCATAATTATCTAATGCCATTGGAGCTGATGGTTAGAAGACAGTTATTTTCTTGGATCACATCAAGATGGAGCCTTGGTTAGCTCTATATTAAGCAAAATTATTGCATCAAACACTTGAGTCAAGCAGGCCTTGTTTTAGCATAATGTATGTAAGAATTTTATCAATACATTGCTAATGTAACTTTCCACTTGTAGAATGGAAGGACCTGCAAAAGAATAACCAGTCCATGGTTGCTGAATTTTCATCTGGTACTTGTCCAGCCTTTGAAACATGTAAATTTGTAAGTGGAATGTAAATTTGTATGTGGAATGTAAATTTGTATGTGGAATGAAAATTTGTATGTGGAATGAAAATTTGGTTGTGGGCTCCCAGCAGTAAAAGGCCTTGCAAAGCCGAGAGCAGGGGACTGAGAGTCTCTTTGCAGTCAATCTATTCAATGTAATTTCACCTTCCTGTTTCTCTGATAGGCTCATTCCTCTGAAAGGCAGAAAAAGGGGGACTTCATTTCGTTTGAATTGCCTGGAAAACAGATTTACTGAGCTCAGCTGAGTATTATACATAAAAATAATAAAAGAAAATAATTTTGGAATCCTGATTTCAGTCAGACCTGCAATAAGCTGGCAAGTGGTTTTATTCTATACAGTGCAAAAGCAGAAAGATGAATTTTTTTGAGTTATACAATGATGAAAATAAAATATTAGAAGTTATTAGAAAGTTTGCATTTTCTCATTTTATCTTCAAGACAGTTTACTTAGGGGACTTGACTTTTTCAAACTAGGGGGAATTCTAAGCCTGGATTATTAGACAAATCACATAGATGTTTACTAAGTAGCCAGACACCAAAGTAGAATTTGGAAGGGAAGCACAATCCATTTTTAAGATAACACTCCAGTAAGTCTTTAAACTACAGAATTCATCAAGCAACTCCCTGTTTGATCCTGACTGCTCCACTCCAGCTTTTCAATTTCAATGTAAAATTGACTTTTCTGTACCAGGCAGAGGTTTCCCATGTCCCACAGTGCTCCGAGGACAGCCTGCTGTGCTCCAGAAATGAGTGCTGCCACTTCCACTGGCGCCAAACTCTATTTGTTCTCTGGATATGTTGAAAGAATAAGGACAAGAAAGTCTGTCATGGCTTATTCCTGAATTTTCATCCAGAAAGAGATTTAGTGGACCCAAGAGATAACACAGCTTCATACTTTTTGGGAGAAAATAGTTCTCAGGAAAGAGGAACATTTGTTTTTAAAATAACTCAGTGCCGTTTTGGGGCAGCCTGGGAATGAGAAGGTCTTTCACGTAAAGAAAAAAAATATATAATGAATAGCTAGAGTTAGATAAATGTTTATGACCTAGCCACATTCTCAATTTGATTAGAAAGAGACAGAATTACAGAAAAAAAAAAGAACATGAATACAATAATTTTATTTTAGTCTTTCCAGACCTGCTTTAAAGATTGAAGAAGCTCAGTGATGCCACTGAGATTTTCCATGCTTGGTCTAAAACAAAACCAACAGCCAAAATCTGGATACCTAACTCATTATAAGTACTGGAAACAAACATTATTTTTGACCTAAACTGGTACTACTTGTTCTCCTAATTTAGAGGAGGAATTGAGGGGGTTGCTCTTTATTTTGTTTGTTTGTTTGTTTGGAAACATATATGAAAATTGCCAATGGCTGTGGGAATGGGCACTCATAATAGCAGCTTTTCATGTTTCTCTTGATAAGCTTAATCAAAGTATCTGATTAGAACACTTCCCTTAGCACTTCATGTATTGTTTCCTTGGGAGCACAATAGATGTAATTTCACTCTTTCAGACTAAATAATTTTCATGGTAATTTCATTGCCATTATCCATCCCACACGTGGTGGTTTTGTATATAAATGTGTCTGACCCATGGCTTCTCACTAGTAGCCTGGAAAAAGTACCTTCCAAACATAAAAAGGTACAAGCTAATAACAGCAAGTACGGATAAAAACTCATAACTTGGACACAACAAATTTGATAAATAGAAGCTGAGTAAGAGAAGCCTTATGCGACCATACCTGATTACTCTTCAGTGGAAATAATTCTTGCAAATATATCATATAAGTTAGCTCTTGCTAGATTATTCTACACCTCAAACATTTCATTTTCATAAAATTAAATGTTTTAGATGTAGAATAATCTAGGCTGATGCATCTAAGAACTGTCTGTAGAAGATATTTAATAGTATTCACCTTTGGTTTCACTATTCAAGTATTACAGCTAAATCTTACAGCTTACTCTTGTGAGGACCCTGATTTCAGGGAAATTCAAAATTCAGGACTCCCTTTAGAGTGCACAAAGCTCTCCTGTTTGGCTGTGCTGTTCCCCAACACTGTGAAGGGGATTCTTCTTTGGGGTTCACAGCCAGCACCTTTCCCTGCAGTTCACCAAGTTAACCCCCTGTATCTGTTCAGTCCTTTCTCATAACACAGATCCCACCTGAGGCTGAGGCTGGCACAGCAGCATGGATAAATGGGAGAGCTGAGTTGGCTCTCTCCCTTCAGGTGGCTGAAAACAATGGAAACTTGAAACAATGTCTTCCATCTTGCAGATCTGTACCATAAAAACTGATCTATCTGGTTTTGTCACACTGAAATGCAAAACACATAAATGATGGACAGAGAGGACTTGAGAATGTGCTGAATTTCAAGAGAGTACTTGAAAACCCCACAGGGTGATTATATGTGAGCTGGAAAACAAGGGACTTTTGCTTCATTTTTAAAAAATGCACTAAATAAAGAGTCACCTCACTACTTTTGCCCTCCCAGAAAGTTTTCCCCTCTAGTTTACAATGCACTGCTCCTTAAAGTTTAAAGGGGTTGTACTGGGCTCAAATTTCTTTTGCTGTTACAATTTGTCTTTTCACCAATCAGGGAGGCCATCATGTCTACTAGCCTGGGAGAGTTGGCTTTCCTGTGTACAAGGTGGCCTATGACTATGAAATACTCAGATCAGGTCAACATTGCACCTAAAATTCCTCTGAAGGCTTCAACAACTTGAAAAAATTCACTAAAATGTAATGGTCCATGCTCATATGTCTAGAGCTAGGCATTAAGAACCTGTGGTCAAGAGAAAAGCTTCTTTCTCTAATGCATGGTAAGAAATATCCCTTCATTCTTCCTTGGGAGAAAGAGCAGGAGCTGTTCAAGCTGTTTTAAAAGCATCTTATATTTTATTTATTTTTGTTGTTATTCTTATTTTGAATTTCACTTCAGTATGTGTGTTTGACACAGAATGGTGTTGACAGGGCAGGTAAAAGGAAAATTTGAAGTTGCTTCAATGAAGAAAAGCAGTTGTTGCAGAACAGCTAGTTCATTATCTTTAATCCATTAACACAGAAAGTTTTACATGCTTCAATACCTCTCATATTTTTTGAATATGATTTATACGGAGTTTGGTTCTTTTTTAAAAGGAAAGAGAACTTTGTAAGAGAGGTTTGAAACTCAGAAAATATACTAGGATGCAGTTTTAAATTACTTTGCACTAATCTGATAGACACACTCTCCCTTATTGTGGAGAGACAACCTACCATATTTGAGCAATTGTGATAGAAAATAGACCACAAAAGTATTCATTATTTTTCCCAAATACATAATATATCATGAAGAAACCTCTGCTTTACCTCAGCCAAACCTGAATTCCTTGAAAGACCAAGCTGAAATCATCCAGCCTCATCAGGCATCCTGGCTCTTGGATAAGGTTTCAGTTCGTCTTGTGACGAGATCTCTGGTGTCGAGATGACCCCGAGGTGTTGGAAAGTCTCTTTTTCCCAGCCCCAAGACCAAAGAAGAAGAAGACAGAATTCCTTGGCTCTCGTTCTCAAGGTTGTTTATCTGCTCTTATCTCATACATTGTCTCTCTCTGACCTGCTAAGGTCTGTCCAGCAGGTCAGGTTGAGGCACACTGCCCACCCTTGGGGTGGTACTATCTTTTTATACTAAAAAATGCATGTATTTTATTTACATTAATTTTCCAATACCCATCACCTATGTTAGACAGTCTGTCTCTACTCTAAAGCAATCCAAAAGAGCGACCATCACAGCAGAAGATGGAGACTAAGAAGGACAAGGAGAAAGACAGAGAACATGCCCAGATTCCTCCATCTTGCCTCTTGAACCCTCATTCTAAAAACCCCAAAATACCACATTTTCATCCTGTGATAAATTCACTGTCATTCTATTCAAACTCTTGTGGCTTGTAACTCTTCACACAAAGTTGGTAATTGTTTCCATGGGTTGAAACCAAAGGCACAGGTGTTTTTGACCCCGTGCCAAGGTCTCTGAGCCCCCTGCCAGGGTCTGGAGTCCTCCAGGGCAGCCAGAGGAATGTCCTGCGTTCCAACAATCTTGGGGCGAACCCCACATGGGGAGAGCACCTTGGATGGCAGCAGGTCTAACGCAACCTCCTCTCTAAGGGTTCTGTCCTGTTCCCAGTGCATCCCTTGGGTCCTCGCTGCATCAATGTGCCTCTGGTATTCCCAGTCCTGACTCTCTCACTGCTTTCCCCATGTTTGGAGAGAATTTCCCTTTGTGCCTGCTCCAGCAGAACCATCCACCATCCATTGGGGCTCAGAAGCTGGAGCTTGGGCTGTAGCCAATGAAGGTTTTTGTTGATTCTTGGTGCTTGGAGAGCAGTCCTTGGGCCCCCTCCCAAGGCCTGGGTGGGCATCCAGGTGAGGTTGGGCAATGCCAATGCCATGAGGTGTCCCAGAGCCCCCCTAGATCCCAGGTGACAGATTGTCACCAAAACATAGATGGGACTGCTGTCATGGAAACAAAACTGCATTGAAATACTAAAAATAAAGCTGGCCAGACAAACTTGATAGTTTTTAGGCAGAACACTGGAGTCAGAGACTGACATGGATGTACTTGGATTTTAGACTGGCATTTGCTAAGGAATCATATGATAGTCTAGAGAGAAAATTAAATCAGTTTGGCTTGTTCCACAAGAAAATTGGTTCAGTCAAAAGCAGGTTTGTGAGCTACTGACAGTGAAAAATTGTAATTAATGTAAGAAGAAAGAAATTGGCTGGTAATACCCACAAGAATCAGTATTGAGCTACCTGTTTAAAGTCTGGATAAAGAGATCTACAAAATTCTATAAAGAATAGGGAGTTATTCAAGATACACTATGGAATGATTTGGAATGATTCACTAAAGTAGGGAATAACTAATTTGTATCCCAGTACTAACTGCTGTGAAGTGAGTATGTGGGTGCTTATTAAAATACATGACCAAATTCTCCAGCCTTCCCAACCCAAACACTTTGGGCTTTCATCTGTCAGTGGAAGTTTGCTGTAGATAAGCCTGATTTTACATGAATGCTGCCAGCAGAATAAGGATAAAGGTCTGAGAACTGGGTCTCTCCTTGGTGGGAGAATCTAAAAATCCTTCAGTCACAATTTTCTCACATTTAGACCTACATTTTCCAGTATTAGCTTTAAAGCAACCACACCAAGTAGCAGCATAGCAGATAACCCAGAGCTGTGGGTCCCTGGGCTGATATCCAGTGATGCTTTGAGGAACACACAAGATCCTTCCCCATGGTCAGGTATCTCAGTGTATAGTGGCAACTTTATTCAGCTGTGTTAGCATGTGTGATTGAAT